TGAAATAATAAAAATATATATAAAAATTTAAAAAAACAATATGCTATATTTTAAAAGTTGTGAGATAGTATACTTTAAGTTTTCTTAAAACAAAAATGATGAGTATGTATGATATAGCATGTTAATTGGTTTAATTTAGCCATGCCATTGTGAAAAATACTGTATTGTGTATCATAATTGTGCATGACTTTATTTATGAGCTAAATAAATGAATAAAAAATAAAATAAAATAAATAAAAAAATCTCTGTGCCATTATTGGCAGGCTGGAGGTCCCAACAAGAAAGTGTTAGTATAGCCTTAGAATAAATTGTGTACAGCATTTTGTTTTTTGTTAAAAATAAATTAACAAAGTTAAAGGGAATTGTTTTTTGTTTTGTTTTTTTCTACTGAGTAGTATCTCATTGTATAAATGCACCACATTTCATCTATTCATTCTTCAGCTGAGGGACATCTAGGTTACTTCCAAGTTATGGATATTACAAATAATGCTTCTATAAACATAGTTGAATGTATTTCTGAGTTGTATGAATGTGCTTTTTGGGGGGGTATATGCCTAAGAGTTGAATTGCTGGAACTTGTGGTAGACTGATTCCCATTTTTCTGAGGAATTGTCATACTGATTTCCAAAGTGGCTGTAAGAGTTTTGAGGTGGCACTCCCACCAGCAGTGGAGCTCCATATCGTCTCCAGCACCAACTGTCATTGGTGTTTTGGTTTTATGTCCCACGCTGTATGTTCTCGCCGGCAAGAATCACGCAGGACACTCGGATCCTTCTGCAGGAAAGCTTTAATGCATCTTGAGAGTGGGAGAGCATAAGCTTACCAGAGTGGAGACCCTGAGCCAAGAATCCCATCCCTTAATAAAGGCTGGCAGCCCCGCCTGGGACGTGTTACCCTATGAATGGCTTCAGCTCCTCAGGCCAAATGAGCCACGGGATAGGCAGAGATCAAAGGAATGGAAATTACCCAGCGCCTGCGAAATAATTTACATTTGGTGCCTGCAGGCACCATCATTGTAATGGAGAATGCAGGAACGGCTCCCTACA